CTACTGTACCCTAAGGACAATGCTGCACTCGGGGGTGAGGAGCATCATGGGCCTCTCCACCTCTTGTCTTTGGAGTGAGAAGGGCGGGGAGCGGAGTATAGCGACGGATTCAGAGAGAGGTCCCGTGGAGGGGGAGCTCGGGCCTCTACCCGGGCCTGGGGAATATTTTCATGCACACAGCAGGCCCACAAATTAATGAAATGGGAAACCACAGGGCCAAGAACAAGGAGGAATTAATGCATGCTAGTTACATAAACAGCAGTATAAATCCACATATTCATACGAGGCTAGCACAGAATGGACTCTGTTAGGAACTTGGTGTCACGCATCTGTGTTGGATGGAGACTCATGTTACAGTCCTTTCCAGTTCGCCAGAAATGGTCCCTTTCCATCAGTGGTACTTGCACATTTACCTCAGTGACTTGGCAGTGGTTGTCTCTGAGGAGACCGAGTTTTTCCCTGAATTTTATGAAATTGGTTTTGCCGGTGAAGTCATAACCCTATGTAGTTGAATACGTTTCTACAAATTTAAAAAACTTTCCAGAAATGTTTTTTGAAAATTTTCTTTTTTTTGAAAATTTTCAAGTGTACAGAAAAGTCAAAGGAGTGGCATGGTGAATGCCTGCATACCCGTGTACCTCCAGCAGGGCCTGTGCACGGCAGCTCCGGCCCAGTGCAGCCAGCGCCTGCTTCTGTAAATAAAGTGTGTGGGAGTACAGACCCTCCTGTTTATTTGTGGATCGTCTGGCTACAAAACAGAGGTGCGACATTTTGACAGAGACCACCATAGGCCCACAAAGCCATATTTCCTATCTAGCCCTTAACAGAAAAAGTTTGCCTGTTTCCTATATAGATACACCCATTATTGATCTTTTGCCATATTTGCTGTATCTCTTTCTCCATGATATTCTCTCTCTCTCTCTCTCTCTCTCTCTCTCTCACACACACACACACACACACATGCATGCACACAAACACATTTTTGCCCCTGAACCATTTTAAATTAGGCTATAGATATTATAACTCATTCCTAGTAATTCAAATATTTGCTTGAAATGAAGGCATTCTCCCTGGCCAGGTAGCTTAGTTGGTTAGAGCATTGTCCCCAATAGGCCAAGGTTGCGGGTTCAATCTACCAGGGCACATACAAGAAATCAACCAATAAATGCATAAATAAGTGGAACAACAAATCAGTCTCTCTATCTCTATTTCCCCTTCTTCTTTCCCCTTCCTTCCTCTCTAAAATCAATCAATAAAGTCATTCTCTCATATAACCACAATCTCATCACTATCATGTCTAAGAAAATTAACATTCATTCAATAATATCACCCAGCATATAGCCCATATTTAAATTGAATTTTTATAGCCTTATTTACTTTTCCTTTTTGGATCAAGGATCCAGTCAAAGCTCATAAATCATGTTTGGTCATCATGTCTCTTTAATCTCCAACTTTGCTTTTTCATGGTATTGACTTTTTTGAAGACTCCTAAAAAACTTATTTTGAAGCCTTACAAAATCACAATAGGTTTGTAATAATACTACATTAGTACGAGTTACATATAGTGACTATTGTCATAAATCAGTGTCTTCTGCTTCTCCCTTGGAATTGAGATGCTGTTGTACTGCTTGGCTTCTGAAGCTAAAATTCTAGTATGTGCGTTTTGCTGGGAATTATAAATGTGAAAAAATCTCAGTGTGAAGAGCAAGGCAGATGGGAATTTTCGAGCTGCATTTTATATAATTAAAGTCACAGTGCTTCCTGCCTGCTCCGGTGGAGGCCCCGTTAGCTCTTGGCTGGAGGGTTCTTCCTTCTGGCTTTGCTCCTGACTGGGGTTTGGCTCCCCTCCAGCATCATTAGGCTGCAGCAAGAGCTGGAAAGAGACCTGCAGTTATTTAAATCTCCCGGCCCAAATTGTTCAGCCTGGCTGGTAACACAGCGCTTTTGTGTTTGCAGCCCGTGTGCTGGATACAGCATGGTGCTCAGACACGCATCTGGGCATCTGCGTGTGCACACAAAAGCGTGGCCCCTTGCTGCTCTTGAGAATCCGAAGTGCCCCAGTCACGTGCTCCTTATGGGACTACCTGGTAGTTACAGGTCTGGTCCTCTTATTGTGGTCCCAAGCGATTCCTAGAGAGTATCAGGACACATCTGCTGCTTTCCTCCAGGGAGGAAGCCTTCAGAACGCACAGACCAACCAGAAACACAGTTGCATGCCCTAGAAAAAAATTACCTGAACATCTATAAATCTTTGAAGATGGGGGAGAACACAGAAAAACTCCAAGGAGAAATTTGATCATTTTCAAACATGCAACGTAATTGAAGGAGAGACTGGGGAGGGTATGGATAACTTCAGAACATGACCGGCTCGTTATCAGTCTACAAGAGGCCTTGTGAACGGTAGCACATCTTGCCTGCTAAAAATCCAGGAACAGCCCTGGCCGGTTTGGCTCAGCGGTTGGAGCGTCGGCCTGCGGTACAGAGAGACCCGGGTTCAGTTCCCGCTAAGGGCACGTACCTCGGTTGCAGTTTGTCCCCGCCCTGGTTGGTCGTGCGGGTGGCAGCCACTCGATGTGTCCCTTCACATCGATGTTTCTCTCTTCCTCTCTCTCCCTCCCACTCTATCTGAACAAAAAATGGAAAAATGTCCTCGAGTGAGGATAAAAAAAATAAAAAATAAATAAATAAATAAAAATCAAAATCCAGGAACACAGAAAAGAACACCTTCCAGGAAGGGCCGTGGGGGGAAAGTGAGATTGTAGTATCTCCTCATTGGTCTCCCTGTCTCCTGCCTTGTTCCTCTGAAGTCCTTCCTTCACTCTGTCTACCTCCCCATAGGCCTACCCTCAACCGTCCCTGCTGCAGATCGGAGCATTCATTCTCAGGTTACAGCCCTGTTGTGACTTTCACAGCCTGCCTTCCTTGGCCTTTCGAGGCCCTCTGCCAGCAGTCCCTGACTCCATAGCATCATCTGTTGGCGCTGACCTCAGATTTGATGCTTGAGTTCCCATATATGCCACATGGTTTTGCATCTCCATCCTTTGCTGGCTGTGTGACCTTGGGCAAGGTGCTTCATAGTTCTGTCCTCAGACTGCTCATCTGTAAATGAGGATGAAAGTAGTACCCACCTCATAATGTCGTACAGGTTTCATGGACGTAGAGCTCTTGGAAGAATACTTAGCATATAAAAAGGGCTAAATAAATGTTAAATATTATCAGTGTATTGCTATTCCTCTTGTTGTTTTGAGCTTGGGTGTATTAATTCATTTTATTGCCACATAGAAAATTACTATAAACTTAGCACCCATTTAAATCAACACCTATTGCCCTGGCCAGTTTGGCTCAGCGGTTAGAGCGTCGGCCTGCGGTCTGGAGAGACCCGGGTTCGGTTCCCGCTAAGGGCACGTACTTCGGTTGCAGTTTGTCCCCGGCCCTGGTTGGTCGTGCGGGTGGCAGCCACTCGGTGTGTCCCTTCGCGTCGATGTTTCTCTCTCTCTCTCCCTTCCTCTCTCTCCCTCCCACTCTATCTGTACAAAAAATGGAAAAATATCCTCTGGTGAGGATAAATAAATAAATAAATAAATAAATAAATAAACACCTATTTATTATCTTAGTTTCTGCAGTCAGCATTATGGACATGTCATGGTGGGTTCTTTGCACAGGGCTGAAATGATGGTATTGGCAGGTCCACGCCTCTTCCAAGCTCATGTGGTTAGTGACAGAATGCATCTCCTTATAGCTTTAGAACTCAAGGCCACCAGGAACTCTGATTTGACCTTCTTTGAAAAGCTCCTCTTATTAGATCAAACCCAATCAGATGATCTTTGTGTTGATTAACTCAAACCAGCTGATTAGTAACATAATCACAGAGGGATATCCCCTCACATTTTTGGTTCTGCTGACACTCAAGGGGGGGGGTGGTTTCAAACAGGGTGTGTACACCAGAGGGTGGGATTCTTGGGGGTCATCTTAGAATCCTGCCTACACACTGGGTAATTGGGAAGGACTTTGCTTTCTTGACTTGCACTTGGGTGAACACGTGATTTGGTAACCATCAGCATCATTTCAGATTTTCGTAGCATTTTCCTGATACTATTCAGCTGGATTCACATTGATCTGGCTTCCGGAGCCATCCTTTACCATTCCTCTCCTGCAATTTTCACTGACAGATGGGGCCAGCTAGCTCGTCAGAGGTCTCTTAGAAAGAGGACAGAGACTTGTGACTGCCGAACCTGCCCTAATACCCTGGAGTTCCACGCGATGGCCACACCTGCAGTCCCTTCCAGAGCCACTTGTTTATTTTAGTGACTCCCAACAAATGAAGACCAGACCTCCTTAATTGTCAAAACGCCTGTTACTCTGCTTGTTCGAAGTATATTTGTACCTGCTAGAGAACCTCTTCACTTCGGGGAGGGTCTTCTCGTTTTCATAAGCTCTCCTCACCCCTCTGTTCCCTCCCACTCAAGTCTAGATTTTTTTTCTCATTTAATTCACTTTGTTGTCTACAAAAAGATATTATCAGTGGAAACCCACTGATGAAGAATGTATTTTAAAAGATCAATTTTAAAAAACTTGCTGAAGATGGCGTGTGGGTAGTACAACCTATTTTTTATATAAATTTTGGACCAGATTCTAGGCAATATGACATAGACAAAACTTTACGATCGGAAATATCTGGTTTTGGAGTATTGTTCCTCCAAAAGATGCTAAGTTCTGCTTCTCAATGGTATTTTACTCTCAGTTTTACAAAAATGTATTAAGGTGAAGGGGAAAAAAATGAACTCGGCAAGGCTGTGGGTTTAGCATTTTGAAGTGTCTGTTTACTCCAGCATGTCCTAACCAAGTATGGTTTGTTAAATCCCACAAGCCATGATGTAGACCTGACTCGGCCGACTTAACGGTGGACATCCCTTCAATAATTTGGACTAGTAAAGAGAAGGGGCTGGTTCATAAAGACGATATAATATAACACAGACTTGGATTTCTTTTCTTCCTCCCAGGACAATATCATCTTATTCTTGAGAGGTTGTAAAGAGCTCGGCCTTAAAGAATCTCAACTTTTTGACCCTAGTGACCTACAGGATACATCCAACAGGGTAACAGTCAAGTAAGTAACGCACGATTTATGTTTAAGGGAAACCCATCTGTGGTTTGATTTGCAGTTTTGTGATGATGTTTTCAGCTTTAAGAGGCAGAGAATTGGGCGTGCCTAATAAAATAAAAAATGTGAAGGTAAAAATTAGGCTTTCAAAGCAAGATACGTGGACCTTCCCTCTGCGTGTAGCTTTCATTCTGATCAAAAAGAATGTTTTTAAATGCAGACATTACTCCTACAGAGTTAGAAAGTTAAAGAGAAGGAGAAAAAATGTTAGGTAAAAGTTACAGGAGGGAGAGGCAAGAAAGAAATTGCACAGAATCTGTGTGTGTCAGACAAAAAGCTTTTATTGGCTCCATTTGGGCATTTGGCTCTTGGGAGACTGCAAATTTGGTAAATAGATCTGAACTCTGTTTATTATGCAGAGAGAGCAATAGATTATGGAGAAATCTCTTCTTCACTTACATTTGTAACTGTTTTCTCATATGTATCAATGACCAAGGTCTTTGAAGATGGATCATTGGCCATTTGGCTATTGTTAACTGGCTCTACTCAATAAGCCATGTTTGGGGACAAAGAATTCTTGGGGGGAAATATCAAAGGAAAAAAAGAGGCAATGTGCTTCTCTGTCAGGAAATAGATCATGACCAGAGTAATGAGAAAAAAAAGTCCTGCTCTGGCCGGTTTGGCTCAGCAGTTAGAGCGTCGGCCTGCAGTCCAGGGAGACCCAGGTTCGGTTCCCGCTAAGGGTGTGTACCTCAGTTGCAGTTTGACCCCAGCCCTGGTTGGTTGTGTGGGTGGTGGCCACTCAATGTGTCCCTTTCACGTCGATGTTTCTCTATCTGAACAAAAAATGGGAAAATGTCCTCGGGTAAGGATGGGAAAAAAAAAAAAGTCCTTATAAGGTGGTATAGATAACTTTCCTATAGTTTAGAAGTCCTTTAGACTCTACAAATTCCATATAAAATATTTTTCACTTTAATGAAACAATATTTGGCATGAATATGCCTTAATAACAATCTTAATTGTGTGGATAGGTCTGTGGATTGGCTGCACTTCTTCTTTTGATTACTTCTGGGTTATTTTATCATAGAAGAACAGAAAAGAGGAGAGAAGCCAAAATTCAGAGCTGTTAATTTTATACCATTTGACAATATTGATTTTTCTTTTAATGATGGGGAAAGATGGAAACTACTGAATGAAATCCAGTTAGGAAATTATATTGGATTTTATGATTTGTGACTGGAAATAAGAGGCAGTCAGCCATGATTGATTACATAAAATCGCTTCACTGTTGTTAATGTGTCATTCTTTAATATTTCTCATGGAAAAATGTTGGTTAAGGGCAAAAATAACAGAATAAAAATTATGATATTTGAATATGGAAACCCCCATAAACCTCATTTTAGTCATCACATGCTCCATTAGTTATTGTATCCAGCCTCTATAAATCATTGTTCATTTTAAGAGATTGTTTCGGGTTCTGCCTCATCTCACATTTGTAATTTCACCTGGTGACTAGAAGTAACAGTAACTGTGCAACATCATAATAATTAATCATACACACATTGCCTGGAAGGTGGGGGAAAGTTCACTTTGGCATGTTTATTTATTTTTAGAGCTACTTTAAATCAATATGTTACTAAACTGGGAGAGTTCTGAGATTGGTTTTGGAAATTCAGAACTCTTAGCACCTTTCTTGCTGATCTACAAAAAATTGGGCATCAGGAAGTTGAGGGTTCTAGTACCCCATCGGCCTCTTACTAGGTCTGTAGTACTAGGCAAGTTTCCTTGTTTCAGTAGGGTTTTGCGTTTTCATCTATAAAATGGAATTGGACAGAATGTTCTCTCTCAGGTATGATTCTAGCTAAAATTTGCTCAGTGCTGATCTGAGAAGATGGTTCAACCAACTTCTGAAAAAACAGACTTTAATTCAAAGGCACAGAAAGCAACCTAAAGGGGAAGAAGTCACTTACGCCAGTGGCACATAGACACTGTCACTTCTCAGTTACTGTCCCATCTCCCCCTTCTCCTATTCGTTTCTGTCCTTTTTCTTTTTTTTCTTTTTTTTTTTTTTGTTTTTTGTAGAGTGGGAGGGAGAAAGAGGAAGGGAGAGAAAGAGAGAGAAACATCGACGTGAAGGGACACATCGAGTGGCTGCCACCCGCACGACCAACCAGGGCCGGGGACAAACCGCAACCGAAGTACATGCCCTTAGCGGGAACCGAACCCGGGTCTCTCCGGACCGCAGGCCGATGCTCTAACCGCTGAGCCAAACTGGCCAGGGCTCTGTCCTTTTTCTTTATCTTTCTCTCTGCTTCTTTCCCCCATCTCCTTCTCTTTCCTATGCTTCCCTTCTTTATCTTGTCTTTCCATCTATCTTCCCTTTTGCATTTCTTCTCCTCATTCTTCTCCCCTTTTATACTTTTCCTTCACTTCAGCATTAATATTTTCTTTAGGCAGTACTTTTCCATCTTCTTCCCTTATGACACTTATGAAAAATATCATTTTTCATTCATTCATTCAACAAATATTTACTGAGCAGCTACTATGTGTCAGATAGTTTTCAGTCACCGGGCAGCTGGAATGGTCAGTGCCTCCTGTTCATGTGGACTGTATTTGCAGTGTCAACAAATGAGAAATAACCAAGTAAATAAAAAAGATAGTTGCAGGAAGTGATAAGTGCTGAGAAGAAAAAATAGCTGATGTAAAAGAAAGTGAGTGTCACACTAATGGATATATCAAATCCTATGTTGTAGACCTTAAACTTATACAATGTTATATGCCATTTGCATTTTAATAAAACTGAAAAAAAAAGAAGAAGAAGAAAGAGTGATCAGCCCAGAGCTGGGCAAGAGTAGCCTCTCTGAAGAGGCAGCATTTCATCTGAGGGCTGAGACATGAGTGGGAAGCAAGAACCAGCCATGCAAAGATCCGTTAGGCATGGAGTGCAGAGGGAGAGTGTATAGACAGGCTGTGGGAAGGGAAACCAACCTGATATTTAATAAGAAAAGTAGCGAGTGTGGTGGCAGGGTAATGAGCAAGGCTGAGTGTGGTGGGAGGGGCAGTCCACAGCCTGGGAGGAAACTGGACTTGGAATCATTATGGAGAAAAATTTTTATTTCACTGTATGAATATTTAGAACACAAATAACTTTATATTGAAATTATGCCATAAATTCACTGACAGTGCTTAGAAAATCATTTCTAGTTTTAGTGAGGTGAGGGACATAGATGAGCTTTCGCTTATAACTTTTCTGTAAATGGTGCTGGTTTCATAGGCCCTGGACGTGAGACGTTTGCACCACGCGTAGGTTTCATAGCTCTCATAGATTACAGCAGAACTGCTGGGTTTCTCTGCTGTCTTTCTCTGAGAGTTGAGCAGAACCTTAGCAGAGACGGAGAACACCCCACTGACACCAATTAATACCATAAGCAATAAGTCATAGGGGGAGAAACCACAGAGGAAATTTTGATGCTTTTCTGAAATTGTTTTTTTTTTAAACTCTTTGGTTTAGTTTTCATTGTAGGTAATTTTCCTTACTTTGTTTTTTTGAGAAGTAACTTGAGTTGACTAAAAAGAAAAAGCCTGCAAATGATTACTGCATGTGTAATATAGTGAGCTCCACCTGTGGTGGAGGCCAGACAACCTAGATGGGAAATAAAAGCGTAGTCCAGAGGGCACGCGGCACGTTCGTCCCAGGGAATCTACCAGGATGGAAGCGAGAAAAGGTGTCGCATTGCCCCTGAGTATCTCTCTGAAAACATTTGGAAGCATTTTCACATCATTGATTGCTGTGTGGAAGTCATCCAACAGATATTTTGTGAGCTCCTACTATGTGCCAAGCATGACTTTTTAGAGCTGGATCACAGTTTTAATCAATGAATTTCATTGTCAATGCAGAAAAGTTTTGTGTTCCCTGTTCTTAACTTGTTTTTCCTAAAAATGTCAAATCTTTAATAGATTTTCTGTTTTCACCTGGTTTTTTCGTTGTTGTTGTTAATTTTTTTTAATCCTAGCAAATATCTGACCTATCATTTTTTCTGTTCAAAGGAGGATACAGGAAAACATTCTCTTAATCAAATCCAAATTGGACCAATGCTTCTTTTTTTTTTTTTTTTTTAAATCCTCACCTGAGGATATTTGTCCATTAATTTTTTTTTTTTAGATAGAGTAGAAGGTGGGGAAGGAGAGAGAGAGAGAGAGAAGCATCAATGGGGTCCAACCTGGACTGGGAATCAAACCCAAGACCCTTTGGTCTTCATGCTGATGCTCTAACTGCTGAGCCAGACTGGCCAGGGCGGACCAATTCTTCTTTCACTCCAGGTCCCTATTGATGGGTTTATTTAGTATGTACTACTTCGTCTCTTACTTCCTCAAACTTCAATTGACTTTAAATTGTGCACCTAGTCATTCATACGCACTTTGGGTCATAATATATATCAGTGAAGTTAGAACCTAAAAACTTGAAGGAGGTCTTGACTGGCTTATATAATAGCATTACATTCTCCCCCATCCCCCAACCTGAAGTTACCGTGAAAAACAAAAACAGTATTTATTTTTCCTAGTATTTATTGTTGACATGTTAAAGGAACTTTGGAATAATTTTGGAGAAATTTTTATATTTCACTGTATGAATATTTAGAAAGTTCCACCAACTAACTTATTTGTTTATAGTTTAAGAATAAATATTTATATATATTTAAGAATGCATGTGTATATTTAAACATAACATGCAAAAAATATTTTCTTGCTTGTGGCTAATTCCCAACACTAATTTATATCCATAGCAGAAAAGGATAAATATTTGGAGGGTATTGCCTCCTGTACATATATTTTCAGATCAATTTAATTAAGGTTTAGACCTTTGTTAAAAGTACTTGCATGAAAAAGATTTGAAAGTGCAGTAAGATTTCCATCTGACAGTGGTTTATAATCAAGACACATTTTTACTTTAGCAGTTAAAATTTGAGAATACAAAAGTAAACAGTCTTGGGTTTAAATGGAATTCTTTATTTTCCAGATGTTAAATAGTATTTATCTTTTCATGGTGCACTATGAAACTTTAAGCCCATCTTGTGTTTTGTAAATAATTTTACTTAGTCTGAAATAATAATCATAAGCCTTTAAAAATATTTTTTCCTGCCCTGGCCAGTTTGGCTCAGCAGTTAGAGCATCGGCCTGTGGACCAGAGAGTCGTGGGTTCGAGTCTGGTTGTGGTTTGTCCCCGGCCCTGGTCAGGGTCGTGCGGGAAGCAACCAGTTGATGTGTCCCTCTCACATCGATGTTTCTCTCTCTCTCTCTTCCCCCCTTCCTCCCTCCTCTCCCTCCTACTCTGTATGAAAAATCAATGGAAAAAATATCCTGGGGTGAGGATTAAAATAAATAAATAAATACATACATAAGTTTTTTTCTGGTTTTATTATATTAGTTAATTTAAGTACATCTTAGAAGTGTTTAAGGAAAGATCACAGTGAAGAAGCTGCTGTTCTGATTATATTTTCTGTTCCTTTTCCTTAATTAGGAGCCTTGATTATAGTAGGAAGCTGAAAAACGTAAGTATTTTAATTCACTTTCCCGCCTTTTTCTTCTGACTTTGATGGGTCAAGTGTAAAATTTAGTTCATATGTTCAGTGTCTCATGTGCCTTGCTAGAAAGAGTTCTAGAAAACCAGTATGTGTGTTTTTGGTAGAATAACGAATGGCTATAATAGGAATAAAAATGGTAGGTTGGGGGAAGGGGTTCACTTTCATAGAAGAGGTGTTCGATCCAGAAGTAAACAAATGGAAGCCTGTGCTGTTTGTGATTCCGTTTCTTAAACACAAAATGGTGTCTCGGCACCGACCTTGGGATTCTGTTGGTCGTCAGACTGGGGCTATTAAGTTAAGCAGTTGGCAAATTATTTTAGGGAAAAATCAGCACAATATGAGCAGTGTTCATTGTCATGGGCCTGTACTCTTTTTTTCTATTAATCGTTTGTTTTTATTAGTACAGTCCAAAATCAACTTTTTTGGGAGTTCAATCTTATTTTCAAAAAGCTGTTTTATTTTTTTCTTTATTTTATTTTTTTCCGTCATCATTTATCCCCCCCTACCTCCTCCACTTCCACCCTCCCCCTGCCCCCTACACTCACCACACTGTTGTCAATGTCCGTGAGTTCTTTTTCTTCCCCCCCTTTTTGTTCAATCCCTTCACCACCACCCCCCCCCCCCATTTTAAGGTTAAATCAAGGAATGTAAGAAATAACCTTCTGCATATAAAATAGAAAAATTAGCTGTGACCCCCCCCCCCTTTTCACATTTCTAGGGTACTATTATATTTGATTGACAGTCTTATTCTTACCTTCTTTTTCTTCTACTATAAAACTAGGGCTATGTGTCATTTTTTATCACACAGTTTTAAGCAAATCAGAGAACCTATCATCTAAAACACAACACAGTTCTGTTTCCCATTCCCTTTGCACCTTTTCGGATAGCCTCATACTCTTAGCACACATTAGTCATTTGATGTTCCTAGTAAATGTCCTGACATTTGGGGTTGTCTGTTCTCTGGAAATTTATTTATAAGCAATCATTTAAAAAGAAAAAAATACTTTCTGGAAGGTTTGAAGCATTCTTGAAGTAAAATTTTCCCACAGGGGTAGAAAACCAAATCGTATCTAAGCACTGATGGCACATAACCATATTTTGGCCTGTTGTCATCTGAACCCATGGACCCATAACCTTGTCCAAAGCATTTTCTGGCCTCGCAGGTGGAGAGAGGCACAGTACTTCCCGCCTGGCTGCAGCAGTAAGACCAAATAGGGAAGTTGAAGGATAGTCTTAGCTTTTCCATAAGCTTCGGATCCCAATAACTCAGTGTTAAGGATTCATCTTCAGCCAAAGCCTGCTGGGTTTTATGGGACCGCTGGTGTAAAGAGCCTTCGCTTTTGCGAACAGTTTCTTTGCAAAGACAGAACAGAATAACTTAGGGCTGTAGCTTCAGACCACTGAATGCTCACAGACATTCTTAAACATGTTGAATCTCTGTGACTGTTAAGATAGTTTAATTAGCAATAAACTATCCAGACTAGATATTTCTCTTCTCGGATTAGTGAGAATCCACCTGTACCCCAACAGCAGGTATCTGCACATCGCATTCCTCGTTACATTATTTTCTTCTGACTTGAAGTTAGACATGCTGAGTTGATCTTGTGCTGGAAACCACTAATTAGCCGTTTCACTTCTTTGGGATTTTTGCCGTTGGCCTCAGCAGAACCTCTGTGCCCACGAGTAGAAAGTGCAGGCTTTTGAAAGCACCTCCCTTAAAAGGAATTGACAACCCAGTCATTACTTGTCCAGGGAAAGACTCCAGAGTTTCTGAAAAATGTTGCTTCCTAATTTTGAATATTTAAACATTTCATTATACAAAAACAACTTTAGAGGATTTATTTTTCCTTCTTGCTGTCTTCTGGATGAGCTCTTTCTAAAACTGGAGTCTTATTTTAACTACTGAATCATGTTTGTGTTGACTGATCCAGCACTGGGTTCTTATTAAAATGATTTTACATCTAATGGATGCTTCATGGATGGTGGTTTTCGTGCATCAGTGGACTTCCTGTTAGCGGAGCATTATTGATTCCTTAATTTAAAAGCGATTCTTGAGAGGAACTTCTGCCACTCGTGTGCATGGTTTTGTCCACAGGTGTTAGTGACCATCTACTGGCTGGGGAAAGCAGCGAACAGCTGTGCGTCGTATAGCGGGACGGCGCTGAACCTGAAGGAGTTCGAAGGCTTGCTGGCTCAGATGAGGAAGGTAACGCTCTTCTTCTTCCTCCGTGAGGTTTAGACAAGGCGGGAAAGCAACCCGTTTGCTTGCTTTTAAGACCATTACAGTGATGGGATTGAACAGGCCGATGTCATACACTCAAGGAAATGACCACTTGTCTCACCAATGATGTCCTTATCGATGACATCTCTGCCTCGTGCATTCCACGCTTACCTGAACTTTTATACCCTTTGGAGAATGAGAGATCTGAGCTCATCCAACTTGAATTCCAAAAAAGCAAATTCAGTCTGTCAGTATATGGCTTTGTGTGCCAGAGAGCTCGGTGCTTGTTTTCTTGGGGGAATAATGCTTGAGTTAAACAATACAGCATTATACAAAAATGAAGACTTTCGTCCTAAAGGTCATTCTGCTTACCCGTCAGGGCCTTGGTGTGGGTGAGCTAACGTCAGCCAAGTTCGTGCCTGGGCATCCACCCTGGACAGGCTCTGACAATTAGACACATTCTCTTCTAAGATGTGCCTTTCATGGCCATTGTAGTTCAATGAGCTGAAAACTGGGAAAACATTTTTTACACTATTTAAAGTTTTATTTGTTTATTCGATTATGGGAAAGACCTACGGTAGGAATTTGTCCAGGAAACAGCAAGACGTTTTCTGTGTGCCTGCCTGTGTGTTCCTTTTTAAGGTTCAGAGTGTAGATTAACTCCTCCAAAGTACTAGGAAACAGCATGACCCGGGAGACGCCCCAGCAAGCAGCCTTGTGAATAGGTGAGGCTCCCTGGTACCCAGTGGCATTCATGGGTTGTGGATAAGGCCCACATTGTGCCACAAATCAATTGAGGCTTTGCCCTTCTTTGTTCTCTAACATGCAAACTGCACTAATGAGACTTCACTCAGAGACATTCCATGCTTAAAATTTTTCTTTTAATACTGAAAGCAAGAACTTGCTCCAACTTTCTAATAATTTAGTCTTCCTTCCTTAAATTAAAGCGAATAGCCCTCACAGTTCTTCTCGTTTGCCTCGAGCCATCTGGCTCGGGAATTTATAAATGGACAAAGCTTCATATTGGTCATAATACATATAAACAAAGTTTTAAAGCTAAATTCCTTTTAAAAATAAGACAAACATACCTACTCCATTAGGTACAACACATTGTTTCTTAGTATTTTTTACCTCTTATTTTCCTTTAATTTTTTTTATCCTCACTCAAGGATATTTTTCTATTTATCTGCAGATAGAGAGGGAGGGAGGGAGGCAGAGAGAGAGAGAGAGAGGGAGAAACATCGATGTGAGAGAGACACATCGATTGGTTGCCTCCCACATGACCCCGACGAGGGCCGGGGATGAACTGCAACCGAGATACGTGCCCTTGACTGGAATCGAACCCTCAACTTGTTGGTCCGCAGGTCGATGCTCTAACTGCTGAGCCATACCAGCCAGGGCTTTTCCTTTCATTTTTTATGTAACTCTGTAATTAGAGAAAGTACAAATCCGGTACAGATCCAGGCTGGATTTGTGAAATCTGAACTTTTTCTTAATATTAAATTTGGACGTAACTAATGATAGATGGTCATGTCTTTTAAACCATGTATTGAAAAGCTCTGCCTCACTGTTCCCTGCTGGATTCTCCTGGAATCTGATTTATTCTTGTTGTTGGCATTTGTTACCTTTAGTCCAGCTCATCTACAATCCGAACACTTATTGGTTTCTTCAACTTTCTTAGCTTTGCTTTCTATTGAGACAATTGGTTATTTTGCTGCCTTGAAAAGGCATTATTGCGAACAGCTGTTGCCTTTTTTAGTGAATCTAGGTAACATCACAGGACATGGGAGAGTAGTTAGTATCACTGAACAAAACATGACTTAACTTAAATGGCCAGCTGTGTTAGTCACATGTTTCTATATGGAGAATAATTGACCTGAAACTTCATGGGTCTATTCAATACCTGGAAAAATTAGTTTCTCTGGAATATATATTATTTCATTTTCTCAGTCAGGCTTGGGTTCATATGGGAATGCAAAACGATGGACGGAGCCTGGGTCCCTGATGATCACCAGCCCACACCAACCCTGAACTGCTCACATCCAGCCCTCATTTATGTGACTTCAAAATAAAATTCTATCTTATTGAAACCCCTGTTAGAGTGTGGTGGGTGAAGATGGGTCACCAGGCTATAGTGTGGTGGGTGAAGATGGTCATCAGGCTAGAGTGTGGTGGGTGAAGGTGGTCACCAGGCTAGAGTGTGGTGGGTGAAGATGGGTCACCAGGCTAGAGTGTGGTGGGTGAAGGTGGTCACCAGGCTATAGTGTGGTGGGTGAAGATGGTCATCAGGCTAGAGTGTGGTGGGTGAAGATGGGTCACCAGGCTAGAGTGTGGTGGGTGAAGATGGTCACCAGGCTAGAGTGTGGTGGGTGAAGATGGGTCACCAGGCTAGAGTGTGGTGGGTGAAGGTGGTCACCAGGCTAGAGTGTGGTGGGTGAAGATGGGTCACCAGGCTAGAGTGTGGTGGGTGAAGATGGTCACCAGGCTAGAGTGTGGTGGGTGAAGATGGTCATCAGGCTAGAGTGTGGTGGGTGAAGATGGTCACCAGGCTAGAGTGTGGTGGGTGAAGATGGTCACCAGGCTAGAGTGTGGTGGGTGAAGATGGTCACCAGGCTAGAGTGTGGTGGGTGAAGATGGTCACCAGGCTAGAGTGTGGTGGGTGAAGATGGTCACCAGGCTAGAGTGTGGTGGGTGAAGATGGTCACCAGGCTAGAGTGTGGTGGGTGAAGATGGTCACCAGGCTAGAGTGTGGTGGGTGAAGATGGTCACCAGGCTAGAGTGTGGTGGGTGAAGATGGTCACCAGGCTAGAGTGTGGTGGGTGAAGATGGTCACCAGGCTAGAGTGTGGTGGGTGAAGATGGTCACCAGGCTAGAGTGTGGTGGGTGAAGATGGTCACCAGGCTAGAGTGTGGTGGGTGAAGATGGGTCACCAGGCTAGAGTGTGGTGGGTGAAGATGGTCACCAGGCTAAGTGTGGTGGGTGAAGTGGTCACCAGGCTAGAGTGTGGTGGGTGAAGATGGGTCACCAGGCTAGAGTGTGGTGGGTGAAGATGGTCACCAGGCTAGAGTGTGGTGGGTGAAGATGGTCACCAGGCTAGAGTGTGGTGGGTGAAGATGGGTCACCAGGCTAGAGTGTGGTGGGTGAAGATGGTCACCAGGCTAGAGTGTGGTGGGTGAAGATGGTCACCAGGCTAGAGTGTGGTGGGTGAAGATGGTCATCAGGCTAGAGTGTGGTGGGTGAAGATGGTCACCAGGCTAGAGTGTGGTGGGTGAAGATGGTCATCAGGCTAGAGTGTGGTGGGTGAAGATGGGTCACCAGGCTAGAGTGTGGTGGGTGAAGGTGGTCACCAGGCTAGAGTGTGGTGGGTGAAGATGGTCACCAGGCTAGAGTGTGGTGGGTGAAGGTGGGTCACCAGGCTAGAGTGTGGTGGGTGAAGATGGGTCACCAGGCTAGAGTGTGGTGGGTGAAGGTGGGTCACCAGGCTAGAGTGTGGTGGGTGAAGATGGGTCACCAGGCTACAGTGTGGTGGGTGAAGATGGTCATCAGGCTAGAGTGTGGTGGGTGAAGATGGGTCACCAGGCTAGAGTGTGGTGGGTGAAGGTGGGTCACCAGGCTAGAGTGTGGTGGGTGAAGGTGGTCACCAGGCTAGAGTGTGGTGGGTGAAGATGGTCACCAGGCTAGAGTGTGGTGGGTGAAGGTGGGTCACCAGGCTAGAGTGTGGTGGGTGAAGATGGGTCACCAGGCTAGAGTGTGGTGGGTGAAGATGGGTCACCAGGCTAGAGTGTGGTGGGTGAAGGTGGTCACCAGGCTAGAATGTGGTGGGTGAAGGTGGTCACCAGGCTAGAGTGTGGTGGGTGAAGGTGGTCACCAGGCTAGAGTGTGGTGGGTGAAGGTGGGTCATCCGGCTAGAAAAGTAAAACTCAAAAACCCTCCAGAACAGGATTTAGCCACCTTATAAATCATAAAGGCAGGAGAAAAATGTTGGGTGGTAAAACAGAGGCATCTGGAGTTTCTCAGATACCACAAGTCATCCACCAACACTCGCTGGTTTTCATTATCTCTGACCAAAGGCAATAAGAAGAGGACAGATGAGTGAAATAATTCAAAACTGTCATGGAGGCTGGTTGTTCTCACCTCATTCATTAACACACTTTTACTGGAACAACTAGCAATTAGCACAATGGACAGAGTAGAGTCTTACCTCCCTTCCCTGGAGAGCTCTCTGTAGAAGATAGAATGCTCCTAGGCTCCTAGGTGAAAAGCACAGAAGATATAACTAGACCCCAAGAGAGAAGAATTTAAACTATGCTCGCCTATGTGTTGGTTTATATTTTCTACTCTCTTTGTAAAGCTTAAATCTAGGTGACTTGATGGAATCCAATGCAATTGTCCATCTAGCTGATATTGTACATCTTTATTTCTGGCTGAAGAACCATCTTCTTGCTTCACCCCAAGGTTCCACTAGGTCATTGTGGCCAAGGATGCCCATGGGTGACCTGGTTTTCACGTTTCAGACTGATTATGCCATTCAGCCTCTAGCTCTCACTTGATCCAAGGTTTCGTTCTTGGCTTTCTACACAGTCATGAACAGAACGGCCTTTCTGTTTTTCTTTCCCATAACTAGCTGTGAGAAAGCAGCTGAAGTTCCAAGAACCATGCTCTCTTCTCCTGTGAGAGCATAGAGTAGGGGTGGCGGAAACCTTTGGGCCATTGGGAGAGTCTTTCTGATATTAGTTTCTTAAAAATCCAGTTTTGTGCTGCTACCCCAAGGAGTTTGTAAAATTTTCTCATTTCTAGATGTAATGAGTGGCTCAGCTCCCTGAGTGTCTGCCCTCCCTGATGGGAAATTGGGCCAAAGCATTTAGATACAGGATATACATGAAGAAGGAAATAGAAGAGTTTCAGTGTGTATATAAGGTTTTGTGTGATTATATATTGCTATTTACATACACAGATGTGTACATAGTAGTAATTCTAACCCTAGCTAACACTTTTGAGCATTTTAAGTCAGGGATTTTTCTGAATGCTTTCCCTATAGTAACACTTAACCCTCCCAGCAATCCTGTGAAATAGAAGATATCAGTAGCTCCATTTTACAGATGTGGAAACTGAGAGTGGGCAAGGTAGACTATTTGGCTAAAGTCATACAAGTTGACAAGGGGCATGGAGCCAGGATTTAAACGCAGTCAGTCAAGCTTCCAAGACACACTGTTAATCCACTCTAAACAGTCCCAAACTGCCTCTCTTTTGCGATATTTATAGTTTGGTGACCTAGGCACAAGCACATTTAGCTAAGGGGCATAATCCAGGCTAGCGTCATCTGCAGAGTAATGAGGCAGTGTCTAGTAATTGAAAGAGGTGACAGTGCTGTTGACGGCAGCTGTAACCACACCAGAGTGGATCAGTGGTCCTAGGTTTTACTTTGGAATTTAAACAGACTGGCCTGTGTTGAGTTCACAGCTTTGCTACTTACTGGGTGACCGCAGGTTACTTATTCTCTCTGATTCTTAATTTTTTCTTCTGTAAAATGGGGACAACGCTAACCACATGACTGAGGCGGGAGGGCGGGAGGATTAAATAATGTAACATATAAAAGTCATCAAGCACAGTCCCAGACATATAGTAAGTGTTCAATAAAAATGATGTTCATTTTTAAGCATTTGGCTTATTCTCAGTGGATAAATAATCCAAGATAATTATTTGCCTTTCTGAAGAAATTTAATACAAAACCACATCCAATTTAGATCTGAAGAAGTTAGTCATGAATTCTTCCTTTTCCAGGCCTGGCTTTTTGTTAAGTCCTGGTTAACTTTTAACCTACAAGTGAACTACCTTAATTTCCATAACTGGAACTTCTGCCTTCCCTGGAGAGTTGTGTGGGCTGTGCTCTCCCAGGCCATTGACAACCTGTTCTTAGGGGCACTGGTCAGTTCCCTGGTGTGGAGACTGCAGGGTTGTTTCAACCCTGCCCTCCTCTGCTCTCCCATTGCCTTCTCTCCATGAAACCTGTGTGTGCCTTGTGAATTACAGCCACTCCGTCCCCTCAAGGTGCCTCCCACTGGGAACTGTGTCAGAGGGTCTGGATATAATTGATAGAAGCAGCCGGCAAAGGCACTTCCTACAAAGGCACTGACTTCAGTGGTCATATGAACCGGTATAGACAGTTTCCAAAATCTCGAATATGGTGAATTTTTTTTCTCTTTCCATTGGGCATGTGGAAGGGACTTTCCTGAGCATCCCAGGAAATCCACAGTGTGACATTCCAGTCATTGCCGATGAAAACAATGTCATCCACAGCCCCGATCTTAAGCGGCCGTCTGGGGGGAATTAAACTGAGGTTTATCTTTGAGTGACCAGAGTTATTTTTGTTTTCGTCAGCCTGGACTTTTGTAATTAATGCTAAGACACAGGCGGGAACAAGGCTCATATTATAATACGAGGGTGAGGATGGCTGTGACTGACCTTTCTCCTGCTGGAGTTTCAGTGTTTTAGTATGTGCTGCTCGCGCTGAAAAGAATTTATAATCGCAGGCTGTCAAAGACGACCATTGTTCTGGCGGCGCTGGACATGTGGGTCAGCCACGGCCGCTCCCCCGCCCGCGCGCCGGGATCCTTCCCAGCGAGCGAGGCAGCAGGAAAAGCATTTTGCATATTTTTCATTGCTCCTTTTTTTTTTCTTTAACTTTTTACCCCAGAAAGGCAGCTCCCTTTCAGAGCAGGAATTTCCCTTCAAGGTAGCAGGAGAGGGGAGCCCGCTGCTCCGGGCTTTGACGGATCTGATTCCCTTGCGACAACAAATGCTCCGGGCATCTGCCAGGTCGAGTCAGCAGGAGCAGCGGCACCGCTACCCTCGGGGCTCCGGCCCGGGCCAGACATGCGGTTATGGATTCCGACAGGAGGGTCAAGGTTAAGGCTTTAGTTTGCTTTGTTTGTTTGCTTGTTTGTTTTCCTCCGTCATTGTATTCTTGTGAATCCAACCTTGATGATGTTTTATTCTTTATTCCTTCGATTCAAGGATTTGGGGTGTAGGAGTTCCTGGGTTTGTTTTTTTCTTAGGGTGTGGGATTTCCCGATTGGGAAAGTAGGGTGGCAGCAGGAGAAGGTTGGAGAAGGCAGTGTTGGCTTGTAGATGACAGTCCATTGGATGGCTGGCTGCCCTAACCTGTCCGAGCCGCTGCTAGAGGCAGGGTGTTTTGGAGACCACTGGAGACTGATTGTCCTGCGATGGAAGGCTCACCGCCTGTTGCTGTAACGTCTGTCACGTTTCACATTTTGTTTTCGGACAGGAGACTGATGACATTGAGAGTCCTAAGCGAAGTATCCGAGACAGTGGCTACATCGACTGCTGGGACTCTGAGCGCAGTGACTCGCTGTCTCCGCCTCGGCACGGCCGAGATGATTCCTTCGACAGCCTGGATTCCTTCGGCTCGCGCTCCCGGCAGACGCCTTCGCCAGATGTAGTCCTCAGGGGCAGCAGCGATGGTAGGTTGGAGCCTTCCTAAAACGCACATCTTAGAATTAAACACAAACAAGGGCTGCCTTGTGGCCAGCAGAGGGACTGGCACTGGGCAGGCGGAACCTGGTAACTCTATACTTGTAGAAGAAATGTCTGTTAATGTTGTTTTTCGCAGTCCTTAGGATTTTGGTGGGCTTTGCCAGCAGTTCATTTGAACATTGCCTCAGTGCACATATCTTCTGTTGGAAAATGCGTGACATCATTCCTCCCTGGGTCTCGGTGAATCAAGACGCTGTGCAGACCATTAGCTCATTAAGTGTGCCAAAGGTTTATATCCTCCGGGTATGAAGAAGGGAAATGTTTGAGCGAGTACCACACTGTGTGGGTGAAAATGGATTGACTTCCAACAAACTGGAAACACACTGAAAGAAGTTCTGAAGCCTGGAATTGTGAAACTTTAATTGGCACGGTTTTGGTCATCTGTTTGAAGGGTATGATGCCCAACCATTGATGAGAGCCATGCAGGTGGCTGTTAATGTATAGGACACAACCCAGACTGTCTGTTCTGATGCTGGGTGTGATCTAAATCCTATGGATTTGATATCACCTGTAGGGAATGATCATTTTTCTTTACAAAAATGTATGGTCATGCAACCTGATAGCCACTTAATGCATACTTTCCAGAAGCTGTTTACCTTAGTATTTTGCACCTTTGTGCTCTTTTGGAAGGGGCAATGGCTTGGTTCTTCATGTGTGAATTTGAAGACAGACATTAAGGCTGGTGGGGAATTTTTTGTTTATATATTTTTAATATCTCTCTCTCTCTCTTTTTTTAAATCCTCACCTGAGGATACTTTTTTCCATTTTTATCTTCAGATAGAATGGAAGGGAGGGAGGGAGGGAGAGGGAGAGAGAGAGAGAGAGAGAGAAACATCAATGTAAGAGAGACACATCAACTGGTTGCCTCCCGCACAACCCCAACCAGGGCCCAGACCAAACTGCAACCGAGGTATGTGCCCTTGACAAGAATTGAACCTTTGGTCTGAGGGCTGACACTCCACCACTGAGCCAAACTGGCCAGGGCAATATCTCTTGATGCTAATATTTCTAGAGAGTTAAGCCTACTTTCCAAGGTGAAAATTATTTTTTATAGCATAAAGATTTTTTCCAGCTATAAAATTCGATATTACTAAAATATGTGGGTATTTAGTGTGTCCAGGTTCTGAGTCAGTTACCTGATGGCTAGTATCTCACTTAACCCTCAGCACAGATTATGGAATACTCATATAGTATCTCACTTAGTCCTCCATGGGGCTGTGAGACACTCCTTTCTATCCGTATCTTGCTGAAGAACCTCAAAGAAGTTAAGTAAGCCTCCTAAGATTGTGAGTGACAAAAATTACTGTCAGTAAGTAGTGTAACATTAGCTTCAAGAACTGTGAGTCCAAATCTTACACTCTTAAGCTTAATTTACTCACACTTCTTTGTCTACTAGATTTTTAAATCTCTAGAATGTCTGAATGAATGCTTTTGTTTAATACTTAAGCTTCCCAAAAATAAACAAGCCTCAGGCCCACACAATCTGTGACTCCTGAAGAATCCCGCGGTGCGTGCAGAGGTGCTTGGATAACATTTCCAACATTATATGCGGCTTCTGAAGTACCATCCAGGAGTTTGGAAGTCACAGTACCAAGTGCACAAGTGCTTTTACAAAACCTATCTTAACCCAACTATTTTATCCATATTATTATGATTGCTTTTTTTAAAAAGTGTTCAAAGTGTTCTTTTCTTCATCTTGGTTTTCTTTTTTTTTTTTTTTTTTTGAGAGAGAGAGAAACATCAATGTGAGAGAGATACATGGAGTGGTTGCCACCCATGCAACCTCAACTGGGGGCGGGGACAAACCGCAACCAAGGTACGTGCCCTTAGTGGGAACCGAACCCAGGACTCTCTGGTCTGCAGGCCATAATCCAACCACTGAGCCAAACCGGCCAGGGCCTCATCTTGGTTCTTTATAGCTGGGAATGTAGATCCTGTATTCTGTCACCGCCTTCCAGTTGTTCAGAGTGTAAAAGGAGCCACATCTTGAAGGGATTTGAGATGGTGGTTTGTAATTTTGTAGCTGTGCAGAGGCACAATTTAGTCTGCAACAATTAAGATTGATAAGCTAGAGTCTTTTTATAAATTGTTTCTCTATCTAAAGACTAATATGAAATTGAGCTTCACAAAACAGCATCCATGAAAAAGAGCTTCTTACACACAGATTTCACCAATCAGTCTAGTACCTTCAGGCTTATGTTTGTGTAAACTAATCAAGACCTAATGAGGTTTTTAAGAAAAAACAACACATTTATATGTGCCTAAAAATAATTAGTATAATTTTATCCAAGTAAATGTTGTATGTCCCTAGTTTATGGTATTTTTTTAATGATGCTAATCAAGAAGATTGCTTGTCTTAATGAACACTCAAATTTAGAAGAAAAATTTTTTTAAGTTTTGAAAAATTATTTTTTGGGACTCATAATCAATTAGGGAAAGTCAAACTATAAAGTTCTCCCACTACGTATCGGGTCAGTGTGGCGAGCCACACTCATCAGAGCTGCAACGATTCTATGGGTTGGACCGACCCAAGAGCTGCCTGGTAGGGATGCTGTGGGTCCCAGGGTCGATTCAGCCAATCTGGTTGCTAGACAGATGCCCATTCTCTCACCTTCACTGGTGTTTCTTCTGAGGTCATATAATGAGCTTCATTGAGGAGGAAATACAAAACTTCCCATTTTATTTTATTTTTTTAATTTATTTTTTATCCTCACCCGAGGACATTTTTCCATTTTTTTACTCAGATAGAGAGTGAAGGAGAGAGAGGAAGAGAGAGAAACATTGATGTGAAAGGAACACATCGAGTGGCCACCACCCACACGGCCCAACCAGGGCCGGGGACAAACTGCAGCCAAGGTACATGCCCTTAGCGGGAACTGAACCCGGGTCTTTGTGGACCGCAGGCTGACGTTCTAACCACTGAGACAAACCGGCCAGGGCCAAAACTTCCCATTTTAATATTAAGAACATAATTCATACATATGATGCATTTTGTTAAATGAGAACTCTTATCTTTTATACAAAAGATGACTTACGAGAGAGAAATAGGAGATGAGAAATTAAAGTGCTAGAAGATTAAAAAGCAGAGGGTTGGGGTGTGTTTGGCAAAGGAAAGAAAGACCCCTATTTGCTGTGAGGGAGAGAAATGTAGCCCCATGGAAAAGAAGGATCAGACTTTGAAAAAAAATTTTTTTTTAATTAATAGAAAGGATAATCTGTTAACGTGTTAAACAACCTATTTTGAAATTTTTCACTCAGTATATTATAGATAATTCATATGTTTTAGATATTGTACATAAGATTCATAGATTATAGGATCCTTGCATTCAGACAATTCTAACCCGTTACTAAGCCTTCATAGTTGACTAAAGAATCATTTTCTTTCATTCATTTTTCAACAAGGTGCAGTGTTCTCCCTAGTCAGATGTTTTAAGCAGGGCACATTTCCCAAGAGAAGTATGTCTCAAAGGAATAAACTTTGGGCTAGGAGTCCAAAAAACAGAATTTGGAGTCCCTGCCTCTTGGCCTCTCTGAGCCTCTGTGTCCACCTTTATAAAATGGGGATCATATTAATAGGGCAACAAATCTAAGAGCTTGGCATGGTGTTTGTTTATAAAGCAATTCACAGGGCTATGAACATTTTATTGTGACACTGAGACAGATATGCAGTGCTTGATAAAAGACTTAGGGTGGGAAGGGAGCTAAATTACAAATTAAAAACTAACAAGTAATGAAACGGTCAAAGCTTCAGAAGGAAGACAGAGAGCAAGTGGCATGAATAATTCATAAACTGAATATTTTATCTGCCGCAATGAACGACTTGTTTATGGTCAATGCTTTTAACTTTTACAGTATTTTAAAGCCATTAAATCATTTCATCTCCAGGGCCAATCATTTCATTCCTATTTTATAGACAAGGACAGTCAAGTGTGTTAGAGACAAGCCGAGGGGCCCACAGCTCATTACTAACAGATCCAGAACTATCAGGACATAAAGAGCAGCCAGCATTTGTTAAGTCCTTGCTGTGGGCCAAGTATGGTACCAATGATTTTCCATGTATCTGATCCTCCCGACAGCCCTGTGAAGGAGGTGGTGTTATCTTCACTTTACAAATTGGGAAGCTGAGGCTTACAGTGGTGAAGTGACAAATGCAAAGTCTCGTCACTACTGAGGGGCAGAGCTCAGCCTGACATGGAGCTGACTCAACACCCTGTAGGAGACCCACTCTGCTGGGCTGCCACGTTTCTTGACTCTTAGTTTAAGGCTTTTTTCACAAGTAGGAATAGGTAATCGTCTATTTAAAGTTGAATAGCCTCATAGTGCTCTCATTGACTAAGAGTTTTCAACCAGCATTAAAATGGTGGTTATTTTTAAATAGTAGTGTTTGTTTTAATGACTGCTTCACTCTATGGATCTTGGAAATCCAGTGATATGAGTGAGACTCAGGAAACAAGAATACAATATAATTAATTACTGGGGCTATTTTCCAACGAAAGACTGATGTTGGCAACATTGAATTCCTTTGCATTGTCTAAAACACTCTTTAAGCCAAACCAATTCACTTATTTATGACTATTTGAGGATACCCACTGTGTGCAAAGACACTGTAATAAATACTGTGAATGATATAAAGCTCTGTTCACAAAATGCAACATAGAAAGTAAAATGTGCAAAAGAAAAGAGTAGGTTATCAGACCATAAGGTTCCCAGGAAAAAAAGTCCCTCCAGCAGTGGATACCAGGAAGGGCTCTGAAATAGAGGAATATGCATTTACTGTAACTCAAACCATTTCCTGGAAGGCAGACCTTGGTTATAATCCAAATCGACCACTTTTCTGAATTCCTGTTGTTCCTACATGTCTGTGCTGCTGGATTAAAACTAATATTCTCCCAGTGTTTCATGGGTTAGTTAAAGTTCCTTCAAAGACAAAATGCTGTATAATATGTATTCGTCAGAGTATGTAGCACAGTGTAAGATGTGAAACAACAGGTGCTCAGTGAAAACTCCACTGGTTGATCTATTTTTTTTCTTTTGAGGGTTGCAGAATCTGAACACGCAGTTAGGCTTACCTCTGTTTATTAAATATTTATTGAATTTTATGGGGAGACTGGTTAATAAAATTATATAGGTTTCAAGTGTACAATTCTACAATACATCATCTATATATTGTGTTGTGTGTTTACCACCCAAAGTCAAGTCTCCCGTCACCATTTATCCCCCCTTTACCCTCTTCTATATCCCCCCACCCCCCCATATCCCTCTGGAAATCACCACAGTGTTGTCTGGTTCTATGAGTTTTTGGGGTTTGGTTTTGTTTTTGTGGGGGGGGTTTGCTTAATCCCTTCACCTTTTTTCACTACCCCCCCACCCCTCAGACAGCTGTCAGTCTGTTCTCTGTATCTAAGAGTCTGTTTTTTTACCTCTGTTTTTTTTATTTGAAGGGGTTTTTTTCCTGATTAAAGTTCAGAGCTTTTCCCAGGGTAGACTAATTTGGACTGATCCTTTAGATTTGTTAAGTGGAAAATTGAAGGCAGGGATCCTGGAGCCCGCAGATTTAACCACATCCCTAATGCTGCATGCTTGCCATCGGGACCTGTCTGCGGGGCCAGCACACTCTCAGCACCCATCCTCTCTTCCCCAGGGAGAGGAAGCGACTCGGAATCGGACCTGCCACATCGGAAGCTGCCGGATGTGAAGAAGGATGACATGTCTGCCAGGCGGACTTCTCATGGTGAGCCGAAATCAGCAGTGCCTTTTAACCAGTACCTCCCGAACAAAAGCAATCAGACGGCCTATGTCCCCGCTCCTCTGAGAAGGAAGAAAGCAGAGCGAGAGGAATATCGCAAGAGCTGGAGCACCGCCACCTCCCCCCTGGGTGGGGAGAGGCCCTTCAGGTAAGACCTGAGCTGCTCCTGTCCCGGCTCGAGCATGAGTGGTGTAGGTTCTACGGCTCCCGGGCACGGATGAGCTCAAAGACCTGTTTCAGAACCGGATGTAAGATCACCAATGGAGGTGGGCGGGACATTCTTTGGAGAGAGACTGTGATGACAGAATATAAGCTTCGTGAAGGTACCTAGAACGGTGCCTGGCACACAGTAGGAATTCAACAAATACTTGTCTGATGAGCAGATTTTTAAAAAACTGGTCCTGTTGACAGAATGATGAGAACAGCGCTGTCATCCATGTCCTTCTGTGGAGACTGCCTGATCCCCTCCTGTTAGATTAGGTGCAAAAAAGACTGACCTTTATGCAAAAAGACATTTTTTAATTGAGACGCATGCTGACCTAGATACAAGCTCAAGTATGTAAGGGCTGCATGGACCATGCTTCAGAATCACATGTAGGACCTCCTATTCAATGGAAGCTACATTGGACTGTTCATCTCTTTAAAGAAATAGTGTTTTCCCTAATCTTTGATCATGTTTTTAGTATTTCACTTATTCAGCGAGTATTTATTGAGCATCTTCTACATACTAGGTCCTGTTTTTTAGGCACTGGGGACCCAATAGTAAATAAGATAGAGTCCCTGCCTTCAAGACCTTATAGTCCAATAAAAGAAACTTACAGGCCAGTCTGGTACTTCCAGGAAAACCACCCTGATTGTTGCATGGTTATTTCTAATAGTCTACCTTTATTATCTATGATTTTCCACTGAACAAGCATTTTATTAAACGTTTTAATTATTGAACAAAGCATAAATTTTACCATTCTAGCAGAAAGGGTTTTGCCTTTCAATATCAATTTTGAAATAGCCCTTAATCAATGTTGAGATTATGATGCATTGTATGAATTAACAAATGACTGCATTAACTTTTGTCACGTTGCCAGGATTGTATTGCATGCTATGACTTTTTTTTTTTAATTGGAAAGTAGTATCAGAATGACCAGGAGATGACATGTGGTCTGCTCCCCAGGCCAGTCTGTTAGTTTGGTAAACCATATTGTCCAACTCACTAGCTCTCCCGAAACAATAGAGGAAGAGGGAAGTGAACTGGGGTCTCCTTGTGAAGAGGACCCAGCTGGCCCAATGGATCCTGATGGGAAACCTTCTGGCGGTGGGTCAGAATCACCCACGGGCAATGGTAAGGAGCAGCCTCCTCCAGAGGGGGCTGCAGCGGCACCAACTCCCAAGTCTGAAGAAAAAGATGCTGAAAGCCAAAAGCGCAGAAGGCTAGAGCAAGCTGGAATCAAGGTGGTGCCGGCGGCCCAGCGCTTCGCCAGGTTAGCTCTGCAGGCCGAGGGCCAGCCTGGCTGGCTTTGTGCATGCCTGGGATTTGGAGTCTGTCCGGCGTGTTGCCGTTTCCATCTCGTTCCCCCACTTCTGCTTTTCAGGTGCATCACTGTTCCCTACTTGGAGCAACTGGAAATAGCTAATAGTCTTTGCCCCCAGGCATGTCTCTGCTTAAGTAGTTGGCTCTTTTAAGTGGAGGTGAAGCGTAAGCTTTTGCTGCTTGATTCCACCTTATCCTATTGTGGTCAGTCGTGTGTGGGCTGCAGGACTTACCTAGCAATAACATTTTATTTTTCAATGGTTTATGGCCTGTTCATTTTCACACTACTCCTAAATGGCTCTTATCTTACTTTATAGATCACTAGAAAATAGTTCCTTTGAAACAGGGAGTACTCTCTTTAGAAAGAGTGGCTGGCTTACAAAAATCCACTTACTTCCTTTGTCCCAAGGGAGTCGTAAGAAAGACTGGGTTTATTTGACTCCTTTTCTAAAGCATGTTGATTCAGAAACAAAGAATGGAGTAATTACTCCTCTTAATTGTAACAAAGGCACTAGTATATAGTCCTGGTGGCTTCATGTTACACGTGAGATGGAGACTCCGCAAAGGCACAGAAAACTATAGTTGTGCAGTTTTATATTGTGTTTTGAGAAGCTGGTGAATTTTTCTCATATAATAACCACAAAGATCCTAACAAATAATAGTGAGACTGAAGTTTATTTGACAAATTGAAATTTCATGACAGTTTGAGAATTGAAAACCCTTTGCCACTTGCCATTCCATTTAATCCTAAGAGGTGGGTGACACACCCATTTTCAAGAAGAGTAAGACTAAGGGTCAATCAGAGCTGATTATCGCTGACCAGAGGCCAGATTCAGAGGTTCTGACCACAGTACCAATCTGCCTCCCACACATTTAAAGAAACATTTTCCATTTCTCTATACAATTCCGTATGTGGTCATTGCTGTGGTCTAAGTCTTAATTGAAAATTCCAGCATGGACTTCCGTGGATTTCTTTCTAGACTTTGTATTGATAAAAAACCAAGGCTATATTTCTTCCCTGCCTGTGGTATTCCACAGAAAGTATGTCTATTCTAAATGTGTATGTACTTCTAGAACAGTCTAACATAAAATTATGCATGTGTTAAAAGCAATATTCTGGGTTTCTGAAATAATGAAGAGTTATATCGTAAAAATCTTAAAAACAAAAGGAAATTTTGTCAGACACGTATTTTTTTTCCCCAACATAATTTTAGCATCTACTTGTATCAGAGAGCAGGCTAGATGCTGAGAATACAAAAATGAAGAGTATCCCCTTACCAGCCACCATTTCCCAGACTGTTCCTGTTTCTGTCTTCAAATCCAGGCCCCACTGAGAGTAGGTAATAAGTTCTACAGGTGAAAGTATGATTTTTTAAAATTTAATCTTAATATCTTTGACACATACCTTCATTTTTATAATATCTGTGAAGTTTTTAAGCTAAAATTTACCAAAGACACTATCATCTTTTTTTTTTCCTCTATTGATTTTAGAGAGAGAGGAAGAGAGAGGGAGAGAGAGATAGAACCATCGATGAGAGAGAACATCGACTGGCCGCCTCCTGCATGCCCCCCACAACCTGGGCATGTGTCCTGACCAGGAATCGAACCGGTGACCTCCTGGTGCATGGGTCGATGCTCAGCTGCTGAGCCACACTGGCCGGACACCATCATCTTTTTTCTCCCTGTTTTCTCATGTTTAAAAAATGCCACTCTCTTGGTTAAAAAACCCATCTTTAGAAATTGGTTGTTCCATGATTACTAATATGGTTGACTATCATAGTATATGTACTGCCACTCAGGTTTCTTCTTCCATGTATTGTCTCAGATCCTTTGCCATTTTTTTTTTTTCTTTTTAAAAAAATTTTATTGTGATAAGAACATTTAGCATGAGATCTCTCCTCTGGACAAATGTAACTGTACAATACAGTATTGTTAACAACAACCAGTATTGTTATTCTTCCTGCTTAACTGAAACTATATGCCCAGTGATTAGCAACTACCCATTTCCCTCTGCCCTAGTGCCTGGCAACCACCATTCCAATCTTTGATTCTATGTACTTGACTCTTAGGTATATCTTATAAATGGCATTATACAATGTTTTTTCTTTTGTGACTACCTTATTTACTTAGCATAGTGTCCTCAAGGTCTACCCATATTGTCACATATTGCAGCATTTCCTTCCTTTTAAAGGCTGAATAATATTCCACTATATGTATATACCACATGTTCTGTATTCATTCATCTGTCCTTGATGGACCTTTAGGTTGTCTCCACATCTTGGCTATTGTGAATAGTGCTGCAGTGAACATAAGGGTGCAGCTGTCTCTTTGGGAACCTGATCTCAATTCGTTTGGATAAACACCCAGAATTGGGATTGTTGGATCATATGGTAGTTCTCTCTTTAATTTCTTTGAGAAATCTTTTCTCATCTTTAGAGTATTCCAAAGAGCAAGGGGAGCTGAGTAGGATGCTACACTGGGCGAAGTCGGCATGCCCACGGATCCCAGTGGTGCAGGGAAGGAAGAGCTTGGCAAAGGCTGGGAGTTCCGAGTGTTCTGGGCCATTTCAGTAACTGGGAGCTTTATTTTCCAGTAAAACTTTGAAATATTTTATGACAATGTGCATCTGTGTACAAACCTAGAATTACGGTTAACTTACAAGTGTAATGCTGTTTGATGAATATTATATTTGTGCGGTAATTTTTACTCCTGTCCACATGTTATCTGGTTTAACTTGTACATATTTTGTCCAACTTAGCTCTATTAAGTGGACATTTGCAGGTCAGTTAATGTCATCACACCCTAGACCTTCAGCTTTAACATTTGAAATTAGGTTCAGGAAAATTATGCACATTCCTGGAGAATGTCCCCAATATTAGTGTGACGCAGCTGCTCCAAACACCCAGAATTCATTTCTGAGACAGACTCTTCGGCTGCTAGTTCTCTCATGAAGGCTTTGTACCCACCGTGCCGCTAGCCTGACATGCCTGTGTCTGTGTCACTATTTGCCGCCCACAGCAGAGCTGTGAGTCATTCAAAGTTTGTCCACATTTGGGATCCTGCTTTTAATGTGGCAGAAAGTAGCCTAACTGGAACGAAATGCATATCATGAAGAAGAAAAGGATTCTTGGTGTCTAGAAAATAAGAATGTAAAATATTTAAATATGCTAATGTCTCTCAAAACATTTTAACCGTGGTCTCCTAAATTCTGGCCACCACATCTTTGAACCCAATAAAAGTCCCAGATGTTTCCTTCTCCCATTTCTCAGCTGGGAAAGTCTTTGGAAGGGCGGGTGAGAGGGCAGAGGCACGAGCAAGGGAACGAGGCGCGTGGACGAAGAACAGGGCTTTACCTTGTAGGCTCTTCTTCCTGTCGATGTCTTTCTTCTCACGGATTCTCAAACACCTCCTTGTATTACTTTTAACACAATACCTAGACAGGAGGAAAGGTGCCTGGGATTCCATTTTCACATTAGTTTAGAAGCCTAGGAGTCCCAAGCTTCCTGTCAAACAATGTATTAGGAGGTATCTGAGCATCAAGGGACAGAAAGTAGGACTTCTTAATAAATGTGTACAGTTACATATTCACTAGAGTTGCCATTGAAGTGAAAAGTATAGGAGCC